CTTTTTTCTTTTCTTTTTTTTTTTTTTGTCAGTAGTGGGGCTTGAACTCTGTGGCTTGGGTGCTATCCCTGTGCTCTTCAGCTCAAGGCTAGCACTCTACCGCTTGAGCCACAGGGCCACTTCTGGTTTTCTCGTGGGTTATTGGAGATAAGAGTCTCATGGATTTTCCTGCCCAGGCTGGCTTTGAACCTCGATCCTCAGATCTCAGCCTCCTGAGTAGCTAGGACTACAGGTATGAGCCACCGGCCCCCGACTCTTTTTTTCTTTTTCTTTTTCTTTTTGATCTGTCATGGGCTTGAACTCTGGACCTGGGCACTGCCCTTGAGCCTCTTCAGTTCAAGTCAAGCACTCTACCACTTGAGCCATAGCATAACTTTTGGTTTCCTGTTGGTTAATTGGAGATAAGAGTCTTATAGACTTTCTTGCCAGGGCTGGCTTTGAACCACAATCCTCAGATCTCAGTCTCCTGAGTAGCTAGGATTATAGGCATGAGCCACTGGGGCCCAGTGATTATAAATATTTTTAAAAAGGAAATTCCAGCCACTCAATTTCTTGTACCATTCTTATTTTATAAATTAAGAAACTTGGTGTTTGGCACATGTGCACACTCAATGTTAGTTACGGTATGTAATAATTTTAGGTGACTTTCTCAAAGTGGTCAAGCTCTGAGTCAATGGCAATCATGTATAGAATCCTTTGAGGCCACATCCAACATATTCTTCCCTCAGTATTTTCATTTTCATATAATAGTAATGCTTCTTTGCCCATAACACAATTAATACTCTATTTTTCTTTCAAGCGCTAAGAATGTTACAATTCACTATCAAATTTGAAACTTTCTCACCTCTGTAACTACAATAAATTAATCCAACTATGATTAGACCATCTCCTAAAACTGATTTCATGATGAGACAATTTCCATAACTTTAACCAAAGCTGTTATAACTAAAAACAGCCAGTCATGAACAAGGTTATCTAAAAGTATACGCAACACTGTAATGCATCCAAAAAGCTTTTGAATCCTCTACCACATTGAGCATATATTACATGGCATATCACTCTACAGTAATTATGCAGACTCAAATCATCACCCAGCTGGGTTCTAATCTTAGTGTTATTATTCTCACAGATCAAATTTGCCCCCTCTACATTACTTTTCCCAAAAAGAAAAACGGCTGTATGAACAAGTATGAAATAATTCTAAAACCAGATACCCAAAGTGTCCTGTAGTAAGAGACATTCATTTTCAAATCTCATTTTATACAAACTATTCTTAGAATCTAAGCCAAAAAATAAAAGCAAGAAAAGTCTGCTATATACATTCTATGTAGTTTATGCTATATCAATTAGACAAGTAAATTATGCCTTTGTCCTATGTGCTAAGACAGATGTAGGCAAGCTTTGTAAAAAGCCACATACAAATGATACCTAAAACAACATGGAATAACAATTAGTAGACTTGCTTCTTTTCTCCCATCCTTGTCACTGAGCAGAATCACTTCAGTGCTTAAGCACCATAGCCAAGCTGCTTTCTTTTCACTAAGTCACACTGTTTGCCTAGGAGCAAAATTTCATTAGGCTTCTGATAGTGCCTTGGATACTGACATTCTGCCAGTATAAACAATCATGGTCAAGTTTAATGTGTGTGTAACCATTTGTAGAAGAGACAATCTCACTCAAAATATTACTCAGTGGATATTACTAACCCTTTTACTCAGAATGTCATAAACCTAGTCATTTTTAGCAATTAAGACTCTAAAAAGCAGCATTGAGACTGGGCAGTTTGACTTCAAGGTTGATTGTGTTCATTACATCAGGCAGGGTGTAATTTATTTCACTCTTCACCCAGGAAGAGTTGGTGGTTATCTGGCCAGGTCTAAGAGTAGAAATTAAGAATCAAACTCACAGCCTCTTAATTTTTAAAAAACCGGGGTTGCTTAGATTGTTGCCACTACAAAATGAAGTCAGCAATAGTGAGGGTGATTTTTAAATGCATGGGCATGAACTTAACAATGAACTACTGTAGACTAGAAACTAGTGGGGACTCTGCTTTGACTTGTTTGATCTAATATTTAAAACAAACTTAGCTGCCTATCACTGCAACTCAAGCTAAGTAAGACTATACCCCTCTCTTTTTATTTTATGTTTTTTGACAGTACACACTTATTAGTTCCATCTAAAATTATATTGTCACCTCACTTCCACTAGGGGGGTCTATCTACCATGTAGTTAACTCCAATTGTTCAGGTGCTACTTAAATCTACTTCCAGCTATTCGTGCCACCAGTGTACACTTTACACAAGTTCCAGTTTTCAGGCTTAGAAACTCAGGCCCAGAAGGAAAATGGAGTGTTACTGTCATTCAGAGGCTGCTCCAACAAAACAAAAAGGTTGGGGGAGGGGAAAGATTCAAAGCCAAAATCTCTTAAATATTCCCAATTTTAATGTTATTGTTTTATAGAATAAATATGTTGCTGGGCACGGGTGGCTCACACCTGTAATCCTAATTACTGGGGAGGCTAAGATCTGAGGATCAGGCTTTGAAGGTAGCTCAGGCTGGAAATGCTTCAAAGACAGCTGGGCAGGAAAAGTCTAAGACTCTTTATTTCCAATTAACCATCAAAAAGCCAGGCCCTAAATTCAAGCCCCATGACTGGCACACACACAGAAAAAAAGAATAAGTATCTATCAACTGGATGCATTTTTGCAAATAAGGAATGTTTTTCAACTCCTGACCTCTGCCTGTTTTTATACTGGGCAATTTATGTAAATAGCTACTTAAATAGCAACACTGCCACGTTTCTTCCCCCAAAGTGACCTTAACTTGGCCCATATGGACAGACAACTTGGGAAAGTTGTTTTAAGGCCACTCATTATTGTAATGAAACCTCAGGCCAGCAAATTCAACCAACTTTATTGGTCAAATTTTAGTATAAACTGTTTCTGTGCTATTTCTAAGCCAAGTAATTCCAATCCACAATTGTTCATTCTAATACAGGGATTATCCACCATTTTAAATAGATGCCCACAGTAGAGAATGGTTCAATTAAAATATTGAAGACTATGCCAATGAATATAGTGCTTACTACTTAAATACTATCTTTTGGGATATGACTTCTTATGTAACATTGAAGAAAGAAATGGGACAGGAGTAAAAGGTTGGCTTTCCTAGAAAATAATCAGATTTTTTTTTGTTAGAAAAGCCATAATGAGGTTACAAGGGAAGAGATCTATTTCTCAGCATTATTTGAAGCACTTACTTTAAAAACCGCTCCTGTTTGGGATAAAATTCACTCCAAATTCACATTTAAATCCCAGTAGAACTCCCTCGAGGGGAGGCTACTTGACGTGTCTTTTTGGTAGAGGTAATCTTCGAAATATGGGCCTCAGCTATTATGGTCCAGTTTTACAATGAAAAGACATCATGTATGACCATTACCCTGGGGACATTAAGAGACTTTAACACTCATCATGCCAATAAGCATGAATGGGGTGGTTGGTGAGCATTTACTTGTAATTCACTGTAAAATGCATCTCCAGAATCAAAGTTAGGCTCCTAAATACACAGTGACAATGAAGTAGATCGTTTACTGCTCAGTAGTTGGGTTCCTCCCCCGCCCTCATTTCCCCCATGTTTTCTATCCATAGTGACCAGCCTTAGCAACCTTTTCCCCTCTCATCCCTCCTAACATTAGGCCAGGCATGGCCAGCATCCCTTCAGATTGCTCGTAAATGGTGAAGCTCTCCCACCTTAGTTCGAGTTTGGCCCACACCCCCAAGGATGTGGTACAAGCTCAGGTGAGATGTACGAAGCTGCCTGACGGATGGAAAGTGTCACCCGGTACTAACCCCACCTCATCTCATTAGGGTATAGTTTGGGTGAGGGCCAGGGAATGGGGAGGGGGGATCAAAACCCACAGGAACACTAAAGGACCAGCGGCAACTACTAGCGGACTGGTGAGAAGCTAGGGCGGGGGTGGTCAGCATCTCTGGGCCTCTGGTTAGAGAGGTTAAGAACTGTAGGGGGGGGAGGGGAAAGGGGAACAAGTGCGTGTGTGCTGGGGAAGGGGCGACCCTAATTTGCTCCAGCCGCCCCTTGGGGCTCAGTCTCTCACGACACCCGCCCTCCAAGAATCTTCGGGTGCTGCAACCCTGACCTCGCACTTTGGCTGCAGAGCCTAAGGAAGCAATGAAGGAAGCCGGCAGTGCCGCGCCTCTGGGGGAAGAGGAGAACGGAAAGGTTCTGCCTTGCTGGGCCAGAGACGTTTGAATATACAAGGGGCAAAAAAGTGCTTACTCATAGGGAGGGAGACGCTGGGCAATCGAGAGTCCTCGGTAATGGCCAGGGAGGTAAGCCGGCGGAAGGCAGGCAGCCAGAGCTAGATTCGTACCCGGGCGCCTCCGCAGCCCAGTCCGGCCCCACCCCACTTGGAACCCTGGGGTCGGCGGCTTTATGCCCGGGTCAACCGCAGCCACAGCGGCGGGAGCTGGAGGCGTCGCCCAGCTGCAGGCTCCGGGATTTCCTGAGTCCGGCGGCAGGAGGGAGGGGGAATAGCAATAGGTGGAAAAAGACAGCAAAGGGAAGTTAGGCGCTTGGTTTTCCAGTTCGCGGACATAGGCGCGCGCAAGAGAAATCGGGGCAAAGGTTGGCGTCAGTGACTCCAGCCCGAGGTGGGCAACAAGTTAAGAGTAAGTAGAGAAAAAAAACAAACGTATTCTCGAGTGAGGAACACAAAAAGTAGGGACCGGAGGGGGTAGTGGGGAACCCTCAGTCACTCCCATCAATCCTTCTTGCGAAGAATCACCAAGGCACCCAAAGACGCTCACTGTAATCTCTTTCGCCTCCCCCCCTCCTCTTCCCTGCCTTGCACAACCCCCGTCTCCACTGGTCCTAGGCACGTTCCGGCAGAGGTTCCGGGAGATGCTGTGCCGAAAATCCACTCCTGCCCACGCCCAGGAAACCCGCTCCCTTCAGGCTTGCCAGCGCTACCGAATACTTACGTAAAGTCGCCGAGATCCCGGGTCTGGCCCCCACAGCCGCCCACCACGCACTCAGACAACTTCTGCTCCTCGCAGTCTCTGCGGCTGCGGTTCTAAAGCCAGCGCTCCCTCCCTCCAGCCCCCCTCGGCCATTCGGCCGCCGCCATTGGCTCTGGTGGTGCTAGCAGTCCGCCTGGGAACCAGAAAGGGGATTGGGCCGTGAGCCTGTCACATCAACTGGGTGGGGAGCTGAGGGAACAGGCACTGGGATGGGCACTCTGGCGGGATGGGAATTGTAAACGGCTGCAAGATGATGTCGGTTCCTTCAGACTCATTCTCCCTGAGCTAAGTAATTATAAGTTATACTTAAAAATTCACAGAGCTTAGCTTGGAGTACATGTTCAAAATTTTTTTAAAAAAAGATGGAAACGTCCAAACAAGTTTGAGCCTCTTCTATTTAAGTCTAGGGCGGGAGGAGGTGCGGCGCCCCCCTCCCCAGGAAGTGTGTATGGGGGGGGTGGGAGGTGGGGAGAATCTCTGAAATGAAAGCCTTGGTGCTGGTTTCATCTGCTCTGATCAGCTCAGGTGCCAAACCACGTGGAGGGAAACCTCAGCTACTAAAGCTTTCTTTGTTTTTGTTTGTTCTGAAAGACTGTCTCACTGTGAACTCCTGGCTGGCTGGCTTGAAACTCCGGATTCTCCACCTTATGCCTTTCAGGTGCTGGAATTGGACGTGTGCATCTTCTACCACACCCCAGCTCATCCCTTTCTTCACAAACTCAACGTAGTAGCAAATCTCTCGGGTTTTTGGCCGCGAACCAAATAAATTGCCAACTGAAATCACCTGTTTGGTAGCTTTGTCCGTAGGACAAGGGGTGAGAGGCGGAGGTGGGAGTGATTGTTCTACTCGTTTAACTGGAAACTGGCTCTCAATTCTCGTCAGTCTCCTTTAGGCAGTGAATGACCTGAGGACTTGTTCTAGCTCCTCAGAGGTCCATTTTAGCCCCACTGTCTACAGTCCTGCCTTCAAATCTTAGCTGCCTCGCAGAGTTTTTTTCCAACTTATCTAAATTCCAATCCTTTGGCTCATCCTAGCTTCAAAACTCAGCTAGCAGGCCAGAGTTGGAGATAATTCTCCAAGATCTGGTAAAGAGATTGGCTTGTTGAAAAGGTGGAGAAGCAAAAAGTTCTAAGCACTTTCCTGTTCCACTCATAACCATTTTTATTCAGGAAATGTATGTTTTTGAATGGTTGTAAAATTAGAAAATTGGTCGGATTAAATCCCATTTGTACATGCACCAGGAAAAATGCTAAATTAAGATAGTCTTAAATTGAATTGTCTTATAAAGGAGCCCCCACTTCATCTGTTGCTGAGAATTTCCTTAGAAAATTTAATCTATTGTGAATGCTAGACTTCTTAAATGAGAAATGAGGGAGTTCCTATACTGGCTAAATGCGACACTACCAAGGGGAAGATTTGGCACTAGGAAAAAAGACTTGTTAAATATTAATTAATGATTAATCAACTGGCAGGACTTATGAAAGGCACAGGAAGGTGAAATGAAATAAAAGGGCAAACATACTTTCCAAAACATTAAAATTCTGCTAGGAGAAATTTTGTGCTAGATCAGGTTTGGGTCATCACAAAAATCCTGACTTGAACATGTTGAGATTGAGTTGAACTTGCAGTGTTTTCAGCACGTCTAGTGGGGCTCTAAAATGAGATTTCTGGCTTGCAATAACTAGCCCAAGGCTTGGTGTGGTCAAAGGAATTCATACAAAATTCCTAAGCACACTAAATAGGATCCTTCAGTTTTCCACTTTTTATTTTGGTGTCAGTCACTACTGAAGAGCTTCCATTTCCTTTGAAACTTAAATTATAGACAATAGCATAAAGGTTTTCCAGTGTAGGTATATTTGTCTCATTTAACTTAGCATTGCATTTTAGTTTCTTTTTTAAGTTCTAGAATTTTTGTCGGGGGGTGGGAGCAGAATTGGAATTTGAACTCAAAATGTTGCTTTTGGTTGTACTACTTACTCATCCCCAACCCTTCTTGTTTTACTTTATTCTTCAGGTAAGGCCTTAAACTTTTTGCCTGGACTGTCCTAGAACTGAGATCTATCTCCATTTCCTGGGATTACAGGTATGCACCACCACACCTCATAAGTTCTAGAATTTAAAATAAAAATATAACAATCTTGCTGGGAAGGTGGCTCAGTGGTAGAGTACTTGCCTTGCATGCATGAAGCCCTGGGTTCAATTCCTCAGCACCACATAAGCAGAAAAAGCCGGAAGTGGGGCTGACGCTCAAGTGGTAGAGTGCTAGCCTTCAGCTGAAGAGCTGAGGGACACCGTGCAGGCCCAGAGTTCAGGCCCCACGACCGACCAAAAAAAAAAGAGAGGAAAAAAAATACCAATCTTATATGTATATTATTTACTTGTACCTCTGAGAATTTTTTTAAGATCTTACATAGGTTTAAAAGTCAATCACTACTGAGTATGTCATACTTCAGTCAAATGGGCTGGGAATTTTTTTGTTTTTGGGTCCGGTCGTGGGGCCTGAACTCTGGGCCTGGGCACTGTCCCTCAGCTCTTCAGCTCAAGGCTAGCACTCTACCAGTTGAGCCACAGCACCACTTCTGGCTTTTTTCCTTTTTGCTTATGTAGTGCTGAGGAATCAAACCGAGGGTCTCAGGCATGCAAGGCAAGCGCTCTACCACTGAGCTACCTTCGGGCTGGGAATTTAATTCACTGGTAGACTCTAGGGTCCATCACCAGCACCATACACAGAAAAAAAGAAAGAAATTTAGCCAAATGTCATTTTGTACATTCCAATGCTTCAAGGTAACAGCCCAACTTCTAAGATCTCAGTAACTTTCCAACAGATAAAACATGCCCAAAGCATAGAAGCACGTATTTGAGTTCTGGTCTAGATTCCTATTGAATTAGCCAAGCAGTATAAAGCAGGTAGAACTTCTTTTTAATGAGTACTATTAAGATAGTCAATGTGATATAACTAAGCTACTCTGTTATTGCTCCAAATCTGAAAGGTCTTTTCAAAATTGAGACTATATTTCATTGTAATCTTTCACCATAACACTTGCTTGCTTTATGATTCTTGCTTTGAGATTCTACCTGTGTAGAATCTCTTACAAAGCAAGCAAAGTTGACAGTCTGTTTATTATCTATGTAAATAAGCCTGCAGAGATGGTCTTCAGGGTCCCCTCCAGCTGCTCTGGAGAGGATAGGCTGGGATTCATCTTCATAGAGCCTTGCAGACTGCCTATCACAGAGAAGTTCAGTTCAGTAAATGTTTGTTGAACTAATGGTTATTTTATGGGTATATTCTTGTACAAACAATGGCAACAAAACACCATATATAGGTCTCTCACTGACCTTTTCCTTCCCTATACACTTTTAAACTCAGCATAGCTTTGAAATAACTTAAAATCAATATCACAAACCTTTGACAGCATTACTTCTTCCTGTCCACATTGTACTTCATATTAGGATCCATATTTTGTTTTAGGATTTATCCCTATCCAGCCTGCCTGGCATTCTTCCTTACCACGTGCACATTTCAATTTTCTTGGTCCCTTTCCTACTGCATTTCCCAAACTACACTGTCCAGTCCACAGATTATGTATATAGTCTGAAATTTTCTAGAAATTTTCCTAGGGTAGGTTGTCGGTATTCTTTTTATTCACTGTTAAAAGCTTCATTTTAAAACCAAGCATTAGCCAGGCATGATGACTCATGCCTGTAATCCTTGCTACTCATAAGGCTGAGATCTAAGCATCATGGTTCAAAGCTACCCTGGACAGGAAAGTCCATGAGACTCTTATCTCCAATTAACCACCAGAAAACCAGAAGTAGAACTGTGGCTCAAAGTAGTAGAGCACTAACCTTAAGTGGATAAAGCTCAGGGTTAGAGCCTAGGCCCACCACCAATGGACAGAAAACAAAAGCAAAATCAAGCATTGTTATGCAGGTTTATAATCCTAGCATTCAGGAGTCTAAAACATTTGGATTTCAAATTAATAACCAGCCCTGGGCTGTGATAGCAGCAATGCTATTTATAAAAAATTAGAATCTCCAGTCTTTGGTGGCTTACACCTATAATACCAGCTACTCGGAGGCTGAGATCAGAGAATCACAATTCAAAACTGTAATGTCCGCTCCTGGATGGCAGCAGACTCCACCCTCCTCACAGCAAAATCTCCACCCAGTACCTGTGTTACCTAGGCAACTGGGACACCTGGAAGAGGTCACATCTGCATCCGCTGAGGTCACATCTGAATTTGATGTGGCCATACCTTTCTCCGCCCATACCCTAGATAAGGGCTAGCCCAGGCCCAGACTCTCTCTCTCTCTCTGTGTTCTATTCTAGCTCTCTCTCTGTTCGTTTCTAGCTCTCTGCTCTCTCTGTGTTCTATTCTAGCTCTCTGTTCGTTTCTAGCTCTCTGCTCTCTCTGTGTTCTATTCTAGCTCTGTTCGTTTCTAGCTCTCTGCTCTCTCTGTTCTATTCTAGCTCTTTCTCTGTTCTTTTCTGCTCTCTCCTCTCTCCCCTCTCTCGCTCCTCTTTTCTAGCTCTCTGCTCTCTGCTCTTTTCTAGCTCTCTTTTCTCTCTCTTTCCTCTCTCTCTTTCTTCTTTCTTTTGCCAGCCACGTGGAGTGCCAACCTTGCCTGGTCCCTTGCCTACCCCTTACCTGAATACCACGTGCGTGCTGGTGCTGTTCTTACTCGGCTACCTCTTTTTTAAAACCTAACAAAAACCAGCCGGGGCAGTAAAGTCTGTGAGAGTCTTATCTCCAATTAACCACTAGAAAACCAAAAGTGGAGCTTTGTCTCAAAGTGGTAGAATGCTAGCCTTGAGCTAAGCCCAGAGATAGTGCCCAGGCCCTGAGTTCAAGCCCCAAGATGGAAAAAAAGATGTATTTAATTCATTGACCTTCAACTCTGTAGACCCAGTGAAGGTCACTATCAACAGTATATATCTTTTTTGGGGGGGTGGGGTCCGGTCATGAGGCCTGAACTCTGGGCCTGGGCGCTGTCCCTCAGCTCTTCAGCTCAAGGCTAGCACTCTACCACTTGAGCCACAGC